CGCAATATTTTGCATTTTAACAGTTTCTTTTGGGGAAAGCTCATCTTGAAGTTGTGGGGTATGAGTCAAAAAATATAGTTTTTGTAGTCACTGGATCAAATCTTATATTAGTAGTTCACTCTTAGTCCAAAAAACAGGCTTTTTGCCCTGCAAGTGTAAGGCAGCGCATGTACCCTATCGAGAAATTCTAAGCTTTGGCACAGATAATTTTATTCAAATAGTCAAATACGAATCATTTTGTGAGTTGGAAAACCAAAAATGCCAAAAAACAAACAAAACCAGCATTATCACAACTATTACGCCATCTTAGAAAATAATTAGATTGATCATGCAGCAGGTTATGTCATGCCATACGGTAAGTATTTGGTTAACTCATTCCGACCATAACCGAATATTGATCCGATGTTCCCGGTGAGTTCTTGTGTTAGACAATATGCATTCTTTTTTAAGTAGTGTTAGACTACTGGAAGTTTACATCTGTTCTGGCAGTAGAGATTTTTTCTACCCAGAATCCGCAAATAGCATTCGTTTCCAGAAACATTTGGTAACAGCGACGTCCGGTCAAATCAAATATCAAGTGAAATCGTTTGTCAACCTATTTTGTGTGCATACCAAAATTCCACTAAGTGTTTTCATTTTGTAAAATAAAAAAACATTATTTATTAAAGTAGCGATTTTAAGCATTGTACGATATTCTTCATTCCTACTCCGTGAAACGGATAAAGCAGAGTGTATGGGACAACGTTCACGGATTTGATGCACTCGATTGAGAAACCGTAAGCGATATTTGTTCAGCTTTTTGAGGACCCAAAACTGCATGACAAACATAAATTGATTGCATGTTTGTTATTTGATCACAAACTCATTTTATCATTCCTTTTCAAGTTTGACAGCGTAGACGCTTCACTACCTTTGAAAAGCGGACTAATGTTTTTCATCACTTTGATTTCAAGTCATTACAAACATCTTTAGCAGAAACGAAGGAAGAGAAGTTAACTCTGATTGAAAAAGAGTGTGGATGGTGGGTTTTAGAGTCAAATGTTTCTCAAATATGCTCGTAAATGAGAGACAAAATCCGATTATAATCGTTGATTCACTCAGATCATCATTCGGCCCGCATGATCCGGTTTCGGTCAGTTTGACGTGGAGTGACTAGATCAACTTTTATTGCGCACACCATTCAAAACCGAGGAGACAAAGTTTATTCCCCATTGCTCAATTCGAATTATGCATCTCTTTTTAACAATGTTTTGAGGGCACGAATTGTACAGGAATAAGTTTCAATGAATATTACGACATGTGCTAGAAGAGTAGAGACCTATGAAGAACATCAGTAATCACTGGGACTGAGCTGGACAAGTACGCGTGTACACCTGTACGAGTACGGCTGTTGCGAAATGATCCAGGATACATTTTTAAACCTGTGCTTTTGGCTGCTCGATTCAAATGTCCACTTCCACAGAAATGGTGTGGCCACTGAGAAAAATTACTGTCCTCTTAAAATGCTGAACTACACCAAGTTATTCAGAAAAACGGCGTGACAGACACGATTGACAGAATCCGATAGGCCCAGCAACACCGTATTAGAATCTGGGAGAGTTTTGTAAGCTGCGCATCATATATGTAAAACTAACATCAAAAGATCTTCGGTAGATAAGTGGGACGATCGTTCAGTGGATTTGTCGGCTCCTGGAGACGGAGGTGATCAGTAAAATATGAGATGAGTTATTTGGTAGAGATTGAGCGATAGCTGTTTACGGTATGCAGAATCAATATATGAACGCTCGGATTAATTAATAAAGCATGGTGGAGTTAGTAGTCAAAGTCGTGGTAAAGATCTGGCTTTTTGAATTGGGGTTAACGGTAGATTAAAATTGGAGGGTTATGAACCACACGAAAATACTTGAGGAAATAAACCGAGTATCCCGCAGTAGCGGTCGACAAGTGTGCTCCTTAGCGCTCATTATTACGCTTCTCAGCTATCTAAACGGTGACTGTACAGTTGTACCGTTGGTAAATGTTTGTTTGATATAGTGATGGAATCGGGAAGAGGATTGTGAGTTGTCAGAGTTATAGGGCTGTTTGTTTTTGCTTACAGTGCAACAATAGAACATGATTAAACCGTTTTGAGGGACAGTAATCTACGGGGGAATTGAGAAACGTGAAGCCAATGCGTATGAATTGCTCAAAAGATTAGGAGAATCTACAAGTTGAGCAAGATACACCGGTGCGGAGTCATAAGTTCTTGAAAGTTGGATCAATCAGTGGAAACACGTCCACAAATTGTACTTCATGAACGGAGGACAGGAAATTTGATATATAATGAAATGAGTATGTGAAATGGGTGTGATAAGTTGGAAAAAATATCTAGATCGTTTGTGAGGACAAGGTCAAAGATACGGGTACGTTCACCAATGAAATTGTGAATATGAGTGGACAAGTAAACCAGCTAGTGAAAATTATTTCGTTGGGTGAACGTTTCTGATTCAAGTCCAGCAATCGGTCTCCTGTACAGCAAGACAGCTGTTCCCTTTCATGGACTGCGAAATCCCCTAAATATTTGCATGTAGGTTGAATGATCCTTCTATTTGTGGGGATCCAATGTCATAATGAGAAAGATTACTACTGTTTTGGTTGTGGTTAACAGCGCAAAAGGGGTGAGCGACAATTGAGAGCGGAACTCTCAGCTAGGAAAACTGGATTTCGCTAATGGTGACATTGCGGTAAAAGCTGCTAGTTGATAGACAAATACACAACCAACAGTTTTGAAAAGAAACAACATCCGTAGAGAATTACGAGGATTCATACTAAAGGCCTCATGCAAGAGACACTTATAAAGTCTTTGCAAATTGGCACCTGAAAACTATCCGCAAACCTTGATGGAGACGAATTCGTGTGATCTAATTTCAAAACTTGGTCTAGAGTTGAAAATCAAGAGCCGATTGTGCGTATTTAGGGCAATTTTCCCGTGGTCGCAGTTGACACTGCCTGTCTCAATAAATAAATTTATACAACTAAACAATTACAGAGACATTAATTGTGAGTTTCAGCCAAAGCAGACTGTTACCTACACAAGTTGCAGACATGTTTGCAGCCATGCCACCCAAGTGCATTATGACTGAGTTTGACCGACAGTAGTGCAGCCCTCGACTGATAAATGGTGAGACAGAAAAAAATAATGGATACATCAAGAGCTAATCGTGATCATGAATGAACAGGCAAGATTCTCTGATCGGTCAATAAGAACAACTATTGTGTTCTAGAAGTTTAAGACTGTTTTTGAATGAAATATGTCACGTGATTGCAGTCTAGTGTTTAGGTTGTCCTCCAGTTAACCATTGGAAGATTTTCTTGTCTACCAATTGTTTAATGGTATTGTTTGAACATTCATTCTCCTTTCCGAAGTGACCTTTCTCTCACTCTCTCTCTCTCTCAAAGCAAACTGGTCACAATATGCCCTTCGACTACCAAGCTGCTGGAATGGAACGAGGCATTAACCGCAGTGTTACGTACCCAAGCCGCGCAAGATTACATTGGATACAATCGCTTCGGATCATTTGCTCCACCGAGACCCAATACACAAGCAACCGTGTGAGTCCCCGGTACCGAGCCCCTTTTCATATCTGCCCAACTTGTGTGAGTATTACTAGCTCGTGCATTGATGCCAAATTCTGAATCATCTGCACGGATTGGAATTGGAAATGTAGATTTATATTAGAATTATGCATACTGGTATACATGACTCATATATATTAGTCTTTTAAAGTTTTCCATTCAGAAGCGCTATAAAAATCGCAAGGTACATTTCGCTAACTCCGTCTCTCGCTCTCTGCTTTCTTTGAAAAACGTCTTTGAACATGCGTCATAAGTGAACAGTTATCGGTTGCCTATTTCATACTTCAAGGGTTAAGCAAAATATCAGTTTAGCAAGAATCTTTAATGTTAGTTCTTGTTCTCTGCAAATTACTACCAGATTTTATGCGATTGGTTTCAGAGTCTCTCTCTGTCTCGATTGGTGCTGAAAACAAGTGGTATCTCATGCAATTTGCCACGATCTGCCTAGAGTAAATAATCAATATACAACACTAAAACGGTCCATAGTCTGTGTTCGTACGTTTGATAGAATGATCAAATAAAGGTAATGGTTATTAAAATTAATTTTAGCGCTGAGTTAGTTTTAAACGCCATCACGAAGAGTATGTAATCGTTGGTGTGGAGAGTGATCGGAATGTGATAAGTTCCTATATTCGGATTGTGCGTTGAAAATCACCTGCTCAGCTTGTAGATTGGGTCATATTCCAACACAAATAAAACTCGTAGACGTTCATCCTTTGCAGCCCTACTGACTTTATTCTTTGGAGCAAAATGCGCAGCGTTTTTAACGAATAAAAAAGCAACCTGGACGGGTTCAGAGAGAAAATGAATTTAAAAATTGAGTCCTGTACACAAACATGTGCTCTTCTGTATACACTTTGGGCCAAATGATTCAATCCCTTTAAGGATGCGGGCAAACAAAGTCGTTTTCGAAACAAAATAAATTTGTTTGAGTTGCAGTAGTTTAAACAGATTGCTCTGCCGAAATATTGATAAAACACGATTACCATCATTTACCTATCCATTAAAAAATCGCAGGTTACCGAGATATTTTAGGATTAGCCAACGCAGTTCAACAGCTTTACCGGTGGCTCATGAAAAACTTGATTCACTTTTAAAGTATTTTTCGTGGAAATAGTTTTTCGGATGATTTATAGAAGCATGATTTATAGAAGCGTTGTTCATGGGCAGTAGACAGTTTCATATTACCGGCACTATCATCACATACGGTTACTCGATGCTAAACCGCACGTATTCGTGGAGAAACTGTTAAGCATAGAAAATCAGTGTTTATACGCTCAACACAGAGAAAATGTATTGATCATCTTTTGTACTCACGTATAGACGCCCCTCCACATACACACTAATCTTAAGTTTTTCGTCTAGTAAGTTGCATGTAGCTCTTTAAATCGAGACTAGACGAGTCAGTGATTAGCTTTGAGTTCAAAAAATTAGTACCAACCAAAAGATCACATTGCATTATAGAGGAATATGTGTCGAAATATTTTGTCTGTGTTTTTATCTAAAAGGTGCATTTTTTATCGTGCCTTTGATTGTCAAAAATCAATCTGTTAAGAACAAAGTTTGTGGTGGATTAAGGCGTTTAGTTGAGTTGAGATAACGAACTCGTTGGAAAACAAGAAGAATTGAATAGTATATAGTTTTCTGGATCATTTAAAGTTAAAACAAGTTCCATCGCCTGCGATTTATAATTGTGATCGAAACCAATACCCTTATTCGTGAGATTTTTTTGTACCTTTGACCTCACACCTGCTCCTCATACAGCTTCATTGACGGTGCTTACTACATGGAAGCTGTGGCCAGAGCAATTGCACAAGCGCAACATGAAATTTTCATCACTGATTGGTGCATGAATCCCGAACTGTTTCTTCGGCGTCCAATCCAATCAAACACTTGGCGGTTGGACAAATTACTTCAAGCGAAAGCGGTTAGTCTTTTCGGGGTTTTCTCCCCTAATTATTAATGAAAATAGTAACAATAACCTCATCATCACCGCTTGCGTAAGTCTATCCTAGAACAGTTTCTCATATACTAAAGTCAACAATATGTTGTTGGATTTGTGGGTTTCGAAAGGACCAATTGGTAACTTAAAACGTATTTTGCAAAACCACAACGAGACCTTTTGATGCTGCATTATAGATGCGTCTGTGGTCAGGCAGAAAAGCACGAAAGAACAAAAAGGGACACCCTTTTACGAATAATTCAAACAAATTTCCGTGGATCCGTATGGGGTTGTTGTTCATCGTAAGAGGCGAACGAGGCTGCTAAGCAGTAGTATTCAATCACCAATAGTTTTCCCCGAAACCATTGGTAATTTATCTAGTCAGAAGATTACACCTTTTGTTCTTTATTCCTGATTGGTTTGCTTGTTCAATAATGTAGTGGCGGCTTGCACGCCATCTGAACGGAGCAGCTTCGTCTAACGATTTTCACTCACACGAACATAAAGCAATTGAAGAACTACCGAAACTAACGCAAAATTTGTTCATATCAGTATACCAGTTTGACTTTGACCTTAAATTCACCTAATCTCATGGTTTTACGTTCATTTCTTTTGGTGCCTCTCAACTAAGATTGCATAGCTTTCGTCGTTTTCTGTTGGGTAAATCAATCGGAAAACTCTTTGTCTCGAATGGAATTTGAGTAATCGCTAGATTCTTTTTTGCTTGATCTTTATCCTCAAAATACCCCAACTTCTCTATGGTTGGATGAGTTTTTATTCTAACCGCACAGCATCTGTCTTGTTTGAAACAGCCAGGTTCATCTCATCACATTCTCGTGGTGAGGGTAGCTTTTTGCTAAATGAAAAAGAATTTGAAACGCTAAAATACAGGAATTTATTATGCATGATAAGACATCTGCAGTTGGAATATCTAGGAAAACTGGAAAACTGCGATTTAAAACTTCACAAAGAGCATTTGGAGTACCTCAGTGACGCTTTAATCATGATGATCACAGGGTTATATTAACCGCATACAATAGTTGTATGCTATCTTTGGCAGGATACCAGCCCCTAATTATCTGCGGTTTTCACACACCACCCTGCCGCCTTAAGGATTAGGCTTTGACTAGCCGAGATTTCTGAAAATATCGCTTATGTTGGTTTGTGCAAACTACCAGTTTCCCGGTCTTGAAGAAACAAAATTATTATATTCGTTGATGGGGCTGATGTATCATGAGCTGTTTGCTCCTATGTAAACTGAGGTTCGAATGTATATACGTATAAGTTACTAGTAGAGGATTTTATGCAATGATACCAGTAATTTCATTATGTTCAAAAAAACAAGAAATGACCTGAAAATCTCGGATGCAACGCATTAGTGACTTCATACCAATGGGTCTCATCAATAGCATGAATCCATCGACTCAATTGAGAACAGGACTATAGATGTAACAGATATAATCCTCTTGTACTTTATACGCATAGGAATTGTATATATTTTATTATATATAATTTTATATTTATATGCTCGGCATTTTAGCTACCAATCAGATCCTGAAGTTGCAGAAGCTTATTGAGGTATTTTGTTCATGGAACTGGTTGTTATATTATTATACTATCAATCACGCATGCAGTAATTGAGAGTCATTTGAGGTTACAATTTTCGGCTTCACTTCTCCTCGTCACTCATCAATATTACCATGAATGCAATATCAAGATTTTAACTTCGACGGCAGTGAAATAATAAGAGTTCAACAATATCAGTGCAATTCGGCTTATGCACTTATGCAGAAGGAGTAAAAATAGCTATTTTTACCAGCGCTAATATACTGCCCTGAGTGGTCTTTTACATTAAAAGTTGATCATGTACCATGACCGTGTGATAAAAATAAAGATAAAAGTAAGCACCTTTCAACTAAAATCAGAAACTGAATGGTGGTAATTGGCGAGTTCACGATGTGATGCATAAGAGGAGAGATTGATGTATCTGTTCAGCAGCAGTAGTATATACGGGCACCAGTGTCTGTCACTATCCGGTTTATCTCTACCGTTTATCAAGCTGTTTGATTGCGATACGTGAAACCGTATCCAAAATTTAGTATATATTAGTCAATATATAAATTGCTGCTCAGTTCTGTGAGTGGTTTATTGGAAGTACGAGTGAATACACGGGTAGCGCATAAACCGGACAATCATAGTTGCGCTTTTACCAACTAGGGTGAATCACTATATCTGATATATTTGGCCTCAGCATATGCACAAGTTGTCACAAGACTGCCCCTCATTTTGGCACTGTTCAACAATCTGTCTTGTCACACTTCATTTAAAGTCTCCAGTTGTCACCAGATGGCGACAGCGGCTTTGCTTTGATACACAAAACAATCCTGTTTTCTCCTAGTTCTTTTTCACTTTCACGTAGGTTATCTAAAACGGTAGAAAGTTGATCAACTTCATCCTACCTAATCTTAATTATCATCACTTTACTGTGGATGAGTCAGTGAAACTCTTTTCTTTACTGTTGCACCAATTGAAAGATAAATAGATGGAAAATGTTCCAGGAGACTTTTGTATTGTGAATAAAGGTACATTCATGAATATGATGTGATGTCAATGGAGACACTGTTTCATTTATACCACCCAGATGAAAAAAATAAGTTCAACACTTTACTGAGGGAAATCGATCGCAATACGATAATCCTTGTTCCCAAACTGTCTAACAAGAAAGGTGCGTCTAATAGATTCTACATTGAGCTTCCTGGTTGATTGACCGAATCAGTGGTTGGAAACACTAAGTAGCAAGACCGAGCATCGTACAAACGGGGGCTTGTCCTGTTGACTTTTGGCAGTTTGCATTTTTCCAACTATTGCACCTACCATCTTCACCTTGATCGATCAAATCCATAACCAAAAGTCTGAACAAAACACAGACCAAAGCACCAGAGTTCAAGGTAGATGGTTCTAAAAATCTGAAGTATTAATCGAAACCGGAGTTTAGTAATCCTATTCAAAAAATATTGGATAAAATCCCACTACCACATGAAGAGCACTGAAAAAAGAAATAGTTTATTTTTATAGAAGCTAATCATTTCTGTTCTCTTCAACTAATAAGCATCGTACTTGAGTTATCTTATTATTACATATAATTGTGTGCATTTAAAGGTCGGGTTCTGACAATCACGCAATAACATGTGATAGTGATTCAGACAGTTGCACGTTTCTAGTCAAGCTCTTTGATTTTATTTACAGTGATCTATCTCCCCAATACCTTCTGTCATTGATGATAGCGAGTTCGGTTAGAGAACCAAAATTAATTTGTGGTTTACTTTGGGCATTGCACGGCTTCCAGTTAATCCCATACAAAGTGTTTGAAAAAGACTATCATATTGGACATTTACATTGTCATGCATGTAAACTTGACTGCCAAAATTTAATTCCGAATCACCCTCGAAGTCGGCGTGGATCATCTGGTCAGCAGACGATACGATTGAGCTCCAAGAGGTATGAGTTAATCTTTTATTCGTGCCAGACATTTTCGAACAGCTATTGTGTTCTTCAATTATCTTGTTCGCTTCGTGTCGCCACCAGTTTCACCGGTTCATGCTTCCATGCAATTTTGTTACTAACGACGGTTTTTCATTCGGAAAGATACGGTTATTGAATCAAACAAGAACAAGCTTTACAATGTGGACGATTGGGGTATTCTGATCATGTCCAACCAAAACACTTTATCGCGGCAAATAGATTATCATACGTTACGCCGATTGCCAGATTTCAGAAATCACTTTGGGAAGTTTATTTATAATGAAACTAATCCAAATTTGCTTTTCCAATTGTAGCGTCAAGGAGTGCGTATATGCGTGATTTTGTATGCCGGAATTGAGAAGGTGGTTCCATTTGTCAGTGCTAAAACAGCCGGTCATTTGCACAGCCTTCATCCAAATATTCACGTAAGTCTTGCCTGTGTGCATTACTATCCTTGCACCCCAGTTATATAAGGACTGAGTGAGATATTTAACGCGTTTCGCAATTTAATGGAAAGGAGTGAACTCCGAAATTCGATCGCGCTGCATTTTTGCGCGTGGGATTTGGTTGTTTGAATCAAAAGTTTTCATTGACTTTACACCCCGAAATCTTCAAATAATTTTAAAACATTGTGTTATCCTGCAAACGTTTCGGTCTTCGTCAATTCAGTCGTCAAGTTAAAAATAGATAAATTGCATCCCAACCGTCAAAATTGGGTTTCCTCAAATAGCACCGAGGAGGCTTGCAAAGGAGTTAACGCACTACGAATCCCCAGCAGATATCTAAACCCTCTATTTGCACATCAAAGCATGGTCACAATTCGGAAAAAATAAGCGACTTTATTAAATAGATACGTATGAAGAAATACCATGAATTTCAGATAGTTATGCTGCAAGAAAATATGGTTGCATCCGGAAGTCAATGTCTGTTTAGTTGAACTTGATTTCAGTGAAGTCGCGGAGATAGTCCCATAACATACACCAAATTCTCTTGGTGAACGTCTGAAAAAATGATCTTCATCTACAAAGTGAGACACATCTCATGCATTTCGGTCAGATGTAAACCTCCTTTTTCTTAGCAAATATCAGTTGACGGCAACACCGAATATTTACATCGTGCCCTCCAGTGCGACTTCTGATGTAAAACGTTTCCTGATTTATTTATATCTGAAACTTATAATTGAACTGAGCGCCTCCGTTTCTATTTTATTTTTTATATTAATCAGGCCTGCTCATTTCCTGACTGATTGCTCTCTTCGCAATCTTGTGAAATTCCTCAAAAGAGAGGGAGCAAAGCTTGATCTTCTGTTTTCCAACCAACCTGGCTTGTTTGCAGTCGGAAAAACAGCCCATCTGGCAAACTCCGATTATTGAATCATAAATGATTTTCTACTGTTCTATTCAAGGAAACATCATGGTACACAGACACATACATTTAACCGGAAGATGTTTCATAGGCTGTGCAATCCTGCACCCTTGGCATCACTGAGAGAAATGCTCTCTCGTACAAACTGTGTTCCGTTCTACGTCTAGAGCGTCTCTGTAGAGTGTGGACATCTCTTTGAATGATATCAGTGTATCGTAAACGGTGGCACTCATACATCTTCTCAATTTATTTGCAACCTTCATCTCTATTTCTAGTCTCACAGCGATTTGAACACCCAAATCTTCCCTTTACTCCGTCATCCAGATGGGAAATCACGAAAGAACAACAAAAACCCGGCGCACGAAAAGCATGATTATTGGTTGTACAAACTGAAGCTGCCTATTTGAATCCCTACTTTGATCTCCGCTGCCCGATAGCCGCTGTATACATCAGCCCCGTCAGATTTTCTTCTCCCACTTTGAAGACCCTCAGAAGACTAAAGGAACGAGCGTACGCAAATCACATTCAAACTTTAGTAAAAAAACATTTCTTTTGCTCAACACTGAGATCCAAAAATCACGAAAGACTCTACATTGAAATCCTATTTGATGATATTTATTGCAAGCAACTCTGGAGTGCAACGAAACACCTTTTTGTGAAAAACGTCAGATTACGCGGGCCTCAAACCACAGTAACTGAATTGAACAGCATGTTTTCCACGGCAATCCAAACGGATGTATCGGGATCATATTGTATAAGTTGGGCAAGTCAATTCTAACCAGGTGACGATGAGCCTGAAAACGGTGAACGCCCACGGTCCCGACGGACTTTTTCTCATCGTACTTCAGGGAATGCGGGTATTATCTGACTGAGCTGCTTGCCGCTTCAGTTTCCACCGTAGCTTCAAGGAACGAAAAATGACTCAATCAAACCCCGATATGAACGTTAACAAAGACTACAACACTGCAAGCGAGCCATAAATCTCTAGGGATTGCAAAATTGAATTTATCAAGTGGGTAAGGGTATCTAAGGTATAAGGCAACTCGTTACAAACAAATCGTCTTGATCCAATTGCAGAGCACTGGAGTTATTACTATCATGGATAAACTTTTCGTAATTCTTTAGCAACACAAAGTTCTATACGTTTGGTCGATATATGTCGACTCCCATTTTGGGAATACTATGAAATGTGGAGGTCTGTAACAGTTAGCAATTTGATCAAAGAACACAACTCTGCAAGCTAGGAGGATTTACATTCAGAATCATTTAGCTGCATCTCAGCTAGTACTTACTACTTCAAAAACAAAATAGTTTCTATATCACAAGGTATGACATTTTTACAAGGTATCAATTCCCACATCCGCTTGCGTGGTTACCAGGGCAATGCCATACTGATATAGACTGCCTTCCGTAGACAACACAGGGGCTTTTAGCGCTTGATTGCTATGGTCTCTGCAAGTTTTAGCTTTANNNNGCTTTACCGCGGTCGGCCTAGTGGCCAGTTTGCAGCAGGTGGCGAGCGATTGAGAACGGAGGTGTTCTGTGAAACTGGATGAATGGTCTGGTTGTTTGTGAGCGCTCAATTTTATTCGCTCGCTTTCGATCCATGCCGGTATGTGTTCGGCCACTCGAATGCCCAGTTACCTCTCTGTTCCACCCACGTAAATAACTCCGTACTCAAATTAAATTTAATAAAATTCATGCGGTTTGGCAGAAAGAGGGAGAGGTGTTTTCACCCAGGAGTACTCTGTCCAATTTATGGCAAATGATCTCACATACCGGTATGCTTCAACTTCCGATGCTGGGTATCAGATGAATCAGTCTATGGCTATTGCCTCATGCAAAACCGACTTCCACTTCATTAGCCAGTTTGGCCCACAAATTTTCACGACCTTTCTTGAGGCTTATTCTGAGTTCACTTCGCAGGCACCAACGGTTTCTATGCTGATCCTGGAAGATTGGGATCTTTTGCTTTCGTTCCTCCTGAATTCCTGATTCCTGAGAGATACAATGTCTGCGGTGTGCTTCCAGCTCTCCAAGGTCAGACATTCGAAATTGATTAAATGGAAACCAATGGGAAACCAGTGCAACCTCAAGACCAATAAAATCTTAATATAAAATGTGGTACCAATTTCAGAATAATTGATGGAACCGTGCGGTTTTTATTCACCAGTCGATGAAATTATCAGCGGCCAAAGCTGGTTTATCAATGGCAATGAGAACCATTTGTTTTCAATAGCTGTACTGCAGGTATCACCCATTTAAGGCGAATAGTCCACACTTTTCATTAAAAAACACGTAATATGATCTGCATATTGCGCGCTCGAGGATTTCCATTTACGGAACTGTTTTCCTCCCAGCCCAATTTTTCTTTTTCTTAGACAAATATAATTCAAGCAATTGTATTAAACTGTATACTAATAATCAATGTTTTCTGTTAAGCAGTAGCACCTCTTTGAACTTGGGTGACGTCATCCAAACTAGCGATAAATCACAATGAGTCTATCCACTAACCTTGATTATCATAGATTAATCCGTTTTGTGTGAAGAGAAATGGTTTTCCAACCTATACACCCACGTCCAAGAAAGAGGAATGATACGATTGCATGTGTTCAACAAGAGAAGCTAAGTGATTGTATTAGGATTTCACTTATTCTGTTTTCTGTGCATCGTTGTTTTCCTGTCAGGTTTACCGATCCCCATTGATCAAATGGTTTTGGAGTCATCACGAGAAAATGGTGGCGATTGATCAATCAATTGTGTTCATGGGTGGAATTGATCTTTGCTTTGGGCGATGGGATACGATTGATCACAGGTAAGAGACAATATTGCTTCATCGGAGACAGTAAACTCCATAACATTCCTAATTTTGTTGGTCACACTTGGCTAATTGTGATTCAGTACGCGGGGTGCACTGTAAGTAGTTGAGTTAAACATTCATATGAGTATCATTTCGGGAGTAGACTTATGAAACTGTTTATTTCTCGATTCACGTTTTTGTCCCAATTTCGGAGGTCTCTTTACTAACAGTTCCTAAGTTACACTCTGAAGCCATATTTTGGTGTAATAACAATTTCAAGACAAGACCAACAAAATCCGCCATTCAATAACAAGGATTATTTCAGTGAACACTTAATTTGTGCTTATCGAGTGTGTTATGCGACACGTTAGTGATCAGACCCTGGTTTAATGCAGCTCATCTATAGCCAAACCAATGGGATGCGGTGAGGATATTTCTCATTGGCATATAGTGAACCGAAAAAAGAGATTCAGATTTTCACCTTGCTAGGTTGATATATTGTCTCTAGGGATTAGAAGTGTTATTAATCTACCCCAAGGAAATTCATGAAAATACCAGGGTATTTAGGAGAGTAAAAGACTGCAATATTTGGGACCAAAACACAACACTTAGGTCAACCTTAAATAGTTGGGTTTCGGATTTTTGAAATTTTAAAATTGTTCAAATTGTTGTTTGGTAGATTTGAAGTTTGTATGTCGATTGTGAAACGCTCAGTAGCCTCAGTGGGATTCGAACCCACGCATGGACGCCACCTACGCTTTGTATGCGCACGCTCTATGAGCTGAGCTACGAGGCCACACCAATAGCACTGATCGTTTTTTTGGATGGAGGCTAACTTCTTTTAATTTGTGAGCTTCAGTGAACAGCTTTTTTCTTCAGCCTAAACCAGACCCTTGAGTAGAACTTAGACAGGAATTTTATTTTCATGATATTTTGAATGCAACTGTACTATTTCATAGTGAGATGTATCGCATGTACAGAGGTTTCTATCATTAAAAAATCAGAGTTTCCAGTGGAATAACTGGAGAAAACATGTTCACATTGTTAGTTAAGTGTGAGCGATTTGATTAGGATTGCCAACTGAAACTACCTATTCGCAAGAAAACCACCCCACATCTTGAAAGTTCGCTTACTATCGTCCAGACGGCTGATTACTACTTGGCTCTTAAGCAGATCAGGCCAGTAATGCGTGGGCCCATCACGGGAATCGTCAAGAGTGACCCGCATGGAGTCGTTGAAGATCACACCGTTTTATCTGAAAATTCAGTTGAAGTGACCGCAAATCTGCTCAACTCCAACATCAGTATGACGAATTTTCCTTTTCTTGATTCATAAACATGATGCTCGTAGCAAGATAAACTGCAACCCGAGCATATTGATGTTGTAGCATTAATATACCTGACTTAACAAACCTCGTGCGACCGGGCACGTGACTTGATCATATATCTTTTCATAAGGTTATTCGTCGTGTATAAAGCAAATGCAGCGGTAACTGAAAACCTAGGAAGCACTGGACAGCTGTTTTTACCCGGTTGGGTCTCATCAGCAGTGCGAATCCATCGACCCAACTGAGGATCGCGAACCCGGAACCTCACAGGGAGAACGCAAGCATGCTACCTTTCGGCCAGCAGGCAGCTGATCGGGCCGCTTTTCATTTTCCATTTACACAATATAACTTTTCAATTCACGCTTCATTTTCCCTATGCACAACGAACTTCATTTATGAACTTGAGTCGAACCCTCCATTATTCTCATGCAAATATCTCTTGTCGGATTCCGTTTATATCCTCAGAGTTGCACTGATGTGCGTCCAAAAAATCACGAACATCTATTTTGTTTCCATAAATGCTTCCAGGAACTACTGATATTCAAGTGTTTGTAGGCTAGTGCTTTCGCTGTATACAGCTCACGACGAGACTGAAACTTGGCGTAGCGTGATGGCTTTCGTGCCTCCATGACCCTGCGTGCTACGCAAGATGACATTACACAGCCGTAGATCCAATCATGCCTGAAAGGTCAACTGTAGAGACTATACAAAGCGCAGTCTCATAAAGCCGCTGCTTGGGCACCTCCTGGCTTCCTTCATCTATCCACACCCGCCCCTGGAGAGGTCACTCCATGTGGTATCGTTACGACCAGCAAGCGTGACCCACGAGTGGGACCGTACGACCCAGCGAGAGAGCAGCACCCGGCAAGAACGATTGCGGTACCCCAGATCGAGACCCAGAGAAACGG